TTTGCACAGGCTAAAGTGGATGCCTTGCAGGTTTCTCATTGTTGTTTTTGGGCTTGCTTCCCTTTAAGCCACAATTTCAAGAGGGTTTGTCTCCATGTCGAGCCCCTTCTTCAACTGCATCCGTGGCCCAAAAAGTGATCCGGATTCCCTAAGTGGGACGCACCCGTATCAACCCTGATTTGTGACCCTAATGGGAACCTGGAAAAGAGGTCAGTTGTTTCCTTTGGCTGTCCTTTCAAGTCGCTCGGAGAGAAGATATCTCAAACAAGGTCATATCAAAGTGATGCGGATGGATGAGGAGAGCGTACTTTATTCACACAGATCAATAGAGCGGGCGGGGTCAAATAAATCCTTCGCCGGTTTGGAACGCTCGTGCGTGTTTGGTTGGTCCAGAAGCTCCCGAATCGTGGCCATGTAGTCCCCCTTTAAAAGTATGATATAGCCAATCGAAGGTGCAGCACAGGAAGGTTGCGGCCAACCAAGCCCCCCACAGAGGCCATCATTTACGACCCCCAGCCTGGCCAACCAAGCCCTCAAATGCTGAGGTTGTTGCCAAAACCAGACCTGGTAAAACACCAGACCTAGCAGCACCTCAACCGCTGTAGCTGGTGACGGGTGATGTTTTAATCATGCCTGGACCCTGAGACTACCCTGAAAGATAATAGGTTATTGCTCAAAGTTATTGGTGGTGGTTTCCTCTTTTTAGGGTTATCTCGAGGGCCCAGTTAGGGTTTGCAGAGAGTTTGAGTGACATGGGAGAACGAGGTCGAACAATCAGCGACTTGGCTGCATAGGGAGTCGTGAGTCAAACGCATCGAGTGAAATGGTGCGAGCTCACCTGGGGGTAGAACGAGCATGAACGAGCTCGCCATGACAAAGGTGCTGTACTTGGGGATCCCCGACTTCAGCTTTTGGAATTCCAAAAAAAAGAGAAGCAGAATCCATCATGTTCCCAATTCAGCTTCGGACTATGGCTTTCTTTGCTACCTGCGTGGCAAATGCACTCAGTGGCAAACCATGAAGTAAATGGCTACAGCCCATGGTGCGGGTAGTGCCGATGGCTTCTCGCAAGCCGCACGGGCTTGCGTTGGGCAGCAAGAGTATATAGGAATACTTCTTGGTTGAAGTTTGAGGGCCATATATATAATATTTCTCTTGGTACGTTTCAACATATGGGGACCCCAATTCGTGTTTGTTGACCTTAAAACCAACCTGAAAAGGGTCCCCAAAAACGCACGCACAGATACACACCCAACCGGGGAATCCCCAGATGACCGGGATGTAGGTGCCATTTCACCCTAGCTTTCAATGTCTTTTTGGAGCTTCCCCGGACCTTCCCTCAAAAGGTGAACAGACCCAAGCAGATTACTGTAGTCCAGGACCTCAACGACACACGGGCAACAACTTCCCTTTCCAGTCACAAATTTATCCCTGTTGGTTTGAAAGGGAATCTATCACTACTTGGAAATAGCTTTAGTTCTTCCAGGGGACTTAAGCAAATGGAAGTTTCAGGGTTGAATTCCGTTCCAAGTGATCGCTGGGATTCATGGCCCAGTGGTATCTTCCTTGTCGTGTATATATATATATATATATTTATTTATATATATAGGTTTGTCTCAAACAAGGGCACCCCATTCCCACCCCCCACCCCCTCCCCGCGGGCCGAAAAAAAACAAATCAACAAAAGGTGGTGTCCTTCTCATTTCTCCTTGACGGCATCCCAAAAAAGTACCCTTGATAAAAACACATTTGCCCATGTGCTTACTTCAGGTGATAAAAAATGGTTCCAGCGTGCACCAAAAAACTAGCATGTGCGTAGCAGCCGAAAGAACCCAGTTAGGCTTTCCCAACTAGTGTACCCTGTGTACCGGCAGGCCCCGTTTCAGTGGGAATGCATTCGCGCGTTTCTTTTGCTTGTCCCGGGGTCTTTGGAACGCCCGGAAGGCAGAAGTCGCGTCTTGGGCGCTGCTCCGCTGCTCGAAATTTAAGGCATTCGAGATGGTCATTGGCCTGATCATTCTGCTGAACGTGATTGTCATCGGCCTGGAGATCGACTTCAAGGCTCCCAACATCGGCGGGCCCGCAGACTGTCTGCCACAGGAATTGATTTGAGGTTCCCCCCAACAGCTACCAAGTGACGGGAGCCTCTCACAACTTACAACAGCCTTACAACTGTTACCCAAACGAGGGAGAACCGGGCTGGGGCCGGAAACGTGCATTTTTATAACTGATCTTGAATTTGAAGCCCGCAGGATCGTTACCATACTTTACTGTTGTATCAGTCAGGATGGAAGTGACATCCTCAGAGATTTCAAACGAATTGGAGCTTTGAAGGAGAAACCATCCTCCTCACTGGGAACTTTCATGGGCCCATTTCGTTTTGAGGGATGGGCTGAGCCTTTCAGTCTTGTCAGGACTCCACTGATGAATCCCTCTGGTGGATCATCGAGACACCTGGCAATCCCAACCTCCGTGGGTGGGGATCGCAGGCCGATCGATGCGGCTTAGAGGACCACCATGCTTTTTTCCGGAGGAAAAGCATTGCAAAGAATGCCGAAAAATTTCGGAAAGATTCACTGGCGATGAACACCATTTAAATATTAATCAACATTTGCTGTATAAGTTGTGTTTGCATGCAAATCCCCACACTTGCCAAATGTCCCAAAGGGAAACCAAAAGGAGATGCCCCCTCTTTAGCCCCTATAGTGATCAACACCCAAAGATGGTCAACGGCTTCTCTACCTTTTTTCCTCGGGAAACTGGGCTGTCTCCGAGGAACATCTTCTGTGCATCTCGGCTGCAGTTGGACGCGAGCGGGGGAATTTCGCATTCGTGTACTGTGGATGGACGAAATCCTGCACCACTTTGAAACCATGGGAAACCAATGTGTTTCCCCTGATGGTTTTCAAGAGAACCCATCACTTACTGCTGGAACTATTTGTTTCTGTTCCAGGGGACTTCAGCAAATGGAGGAAGCATTTGCTTGCACGCAGGAAGTTGGTATGAGGGGCAGCTTCCACCGCCCTTTCCATTGCTTAGGCAAACTGCGCCTTTTAGTCTCGGCGTAGCACATGTCACGAGTGACAGGGCTCTCTTACGGCAGAAAGCGCTTGCATCGGCTTGGGTTGCTTCGCGCCACTTTCTGAAGTTCGGATTTATGGACTTGCAAAGTAGCCTTCTGTTGGGCAGGTGTATGCAGTATGCACGGGAGGGCATACACCATATGTCTTGGAGTGTGGGCACCAAGACTATTTGCTTAAACATATTTTAGATTTCTCCCTGCTGGTTTTAAGGGGAATCTATGACTACTGGACATATTTCTAATTTTGCCCAGTGGACTTAAGCAAATGACCAGGGAAGTCATTGGAGGGTCCATCTCCCAGTTCTTGAGCGGGGATCCGTCGGATCCCGGTCGTATCTTTCACTCGAAGGGATCGCAATAGGAAGCATCACAAGCGTTCAGCTTGAGCAGATCGTTTCAATCATTGGGCAGGAATTTCGACCCAACCCGCTCCCTCTCTATTTCTGGCATCCCAAAAGGCAAGCTGAAAGGGGATTTTCCATAATTCCTTCGATTTGTCTCAGGCCTGGGAATTGTCGCGGCAAGTGTTTCCCGCTTTTGGGGCAATCCACATTTCACGGCTCAGGTGACATGGCTCATCGCAGCTTGGCCGGAAGGGCATCTGCTCAGAGCATTTTTAGAGCTCTCGGAGTTGTCCTCTTTCTGGGCTGCCTTGCGAATTTTCACTTTCCACGGTTTTGGAGACAACAAACAACACAGTCGTCGAATCGTACTGGGCGCATCCTTTCGGAGTGTTTTTCTGGGTACCCCTTTTCGGGGGGTTGATTCAATTGAAGCCAACAAGCATCTTCCCATCTTTGGGGGTTCTTTCCCAAAGCCGACGGTTCCTTTGAGACTCTTGGCTCAATGTCGTGGCGCGCAACTTGGCCTTTTGACCGACCTTATTTGGACTCAGTGAGTGATTCTTCAAGTGCTAAAAGGAGCATTCCTCCACTCAACGGGGTAGCTGCGTAGGCTACAAAGGGAATAGTCCAAACCATGAATTGCTGGGGATATCCGTCCTTTTTAATTCTGTACATGGCTTTGTGTAGACCATTTTAATTCCCTCCCCGAATTTCTGGACTTTAAACTTTCTGGGAAAGCCAGTTGGGGGCAATTACGAAGCTAATGCCAGAGACAAATGGGATCAAATGGGTGTGGCTCAAAATTTAAGAGCTGGGGTTACGCAGGTTTTGGTCATTATTTCCATTTACCTCCACCTACCTAGGGGCAATTTTGGGTACGTTTTTGTTGACCCACAGGCAAATAAACAACACTTCTCGACTTGCTTGCTGTCGCACGCGTCAATTTAGGAGCTGGCGGTGAAGCTTTGCGCTTTGAAGTACGCCTACTTCAAGGACTGAAAATGCCAAGGGGGCCCTTGGCCGTTGGCCCCTAGGTCCCCCAGTAGTGCCCTTTGGCCGTTTCTTAAAACAAGGGTCCCTTATTCTGACCTCTCTACTGGAGGACGTAGGCCCTTGGTAGGGGTTGTCAAACTTTGGTCAAAAAGCGATATTGTGTCGTTGTTTGGAGTTGGTAGCCCCCCCCCCCAATAAATTTTGGTTGTTGTTGGGGTGACCCATGTGCAGACAAGCCAATATGGTTTGGAGTCAGCCAAAGAGAAGCATCGTTGAAAGGGAACCACTGCCATGCCGCGCATGAGAAGTTTTGATTAGATCTTGATGTGCCAGCTAAACTATTTCACCACCCTGATGTGTCGTTGCTCAAAGAGGGCAATGGTTGGGGAAGTAGGGCTTTAGAACCACTTTCTGCGACACCAAGACCCGCTTTGCAGTGACAGTGTAGTCATTTGGATTGCCCGCTTTGGCATGAAAACTGGATGCTTTGCGGCAAGGGATATGTGCCTGTGTTTTTAGTTGTTTGACCCACTTCCCAAGTTGTGATTTGTTTGCAAAGGAACCCACATATTTCGCTTCCCAGGACTGCCTGAACTATGTGGACATGGGCCTGGTGGCACCTCGCTCGAGCTATGGAGACAAAACCCAATGGACCTAAACTTGAATAAGTACTCGCTGTTTATGCTCATGTGTTGCTTGGATGTAAATCTTAGCAAAAGAACGCTGAAACCCAGCATCGAGCACTGGTCTTGGCATGTCTTGATTATTCATGTGGTTACGTGCATTCTTTTTTTTTTTCTGAGCATCATGTTTTGCCAGCATGCTGGTTGCCAAATAGCAGAGGTTCAATGTCCTGGAAGGAAGCCATCAGGCGATGGCTTATTACTGTTTTGCTTGACTGCTATTGGGTTGGATCTTTAACTTTTTGGGAAATGAAGGGGTTTTCCACTAAACCCGCAAAAAGTCAAACTTTTTGCAGAGGGCTCAACAGCAACAAAGTTGGACCGCTTGGTTTTGGGCCCCCCATCCCCCCGAACAACCATTGACCCCTACCGGCCCATTGTTGGTCGGCCCCCCTGCAGATGCACAGAATCCGCGGAGCGCTTTCGTCCCAGAGGTTGGGGTTGAGAAGCCTTGCTGAGTCCTTGGGGGAAAGGATCAGAAGCTGTTCCCAAATATATACCCCGAAAAGGTTCCAACTTGTTAGACATCTCTTTGCATTGCAGAAAAAGAGGGAAATCTGAACAGAATGGAAGGGGACCGCTAAATGAAGCATCCAACTTGGCAAGTCCTTCAATTGGATTCCGGCCCTTTCCCCCTTTGCACAGGGGCAAACTGTGATTTGCTGAAATCTCCACCCTTTTAACCAGCCATTGAACCTTTTGCGAGTGTAATTCTGGCTGAGAAACTCAGCCAATCAAGACCTGAGTGTCAAATTGGGGGGTAGAACTGACGGAGGTTGGGGGAGGGAGGAATGGGACCTGCCAACCAGGAGTTCCCAACAAATAGTCACAGCATGCGACACATGCGCGAGGTTGTCCATTGTAGGCTACCTTCTTGAAAAGTCAGGATTTGAGGCAAAGTAGTTGGTTCCTCGTGGAAGCCTTATGCATTTCAAGCCAGGTAAGTTCCTCATGTGGCCGTTTTCATTTTGTGCATTGTGCAAACACTTGACAGAGGTTTATTTGAGGAATCTGATCCACGTACGAGCACACAGTTGCTAAATCGTGGAAAGGGTATTGAACATTGCATCTAAGGAATACCAAACGTGCCAACGAAAAGAGTTCAGAAGCACAACCCTGTTTGGCGGAATGTACAGATGCCCTTTTTTCTAGCACAATGGGAACACTGCCAACCCCTGCAAACCCGGGATTCGCCTGGGTGTGCGTGTGCGTGTGTGTGTGTGTGTGTGTGCTTTGGGTGTTTGGCTCGCTTACGCTACCGTAGTGGGGGAAGTTAATGGACAATTAAAAGTTTTGTTCATGTTTTGGGCCGGTCCACTCGATAGGAAGTGAGTAGAAGCTCTGTTTCTAGATGGAGTGCAGAGCCCTGCGAATTCCGCCCCTTCGCTTTGAGCCAGCAGGTGCTCTCCGCAACTCAGCTGGGAATGGAGGGTTTTGGGGATTCCATGCGGCCGCAACTCGCTTCCTGGGAAAGGGTGCCCTTTTTCCTATGGTGGCCCTGGATGCGTGGTTTGGATTGGTGGTGTGGGGATTTGGACCCGTTGAAAGATGGGATGCTAACTCTCTATTGCGTCCAAACAGCCCATCCAACGAATGCATTGTTCACCTCTCTTCCTGGGTGTTGCTTTTTCTGGGCCGTCACACCGTGTAGTCACTTCTCACCAGCCACATTTTCTGGCCGCAATGGCTCCCGCAAGTCTCTGATCATGGGACGTTTTGGCGCTGGATGCCCTGTTGGGCATCATTTCTCATGTCGGGGTGCTGGACTTTGGTCCTCTTTGACAACTTGAGTGGCACATGACCCCAGAGACTCCATTTCCTCGTATAGGTATCCAAGGGAACCAGCCTTTAACATCCAAAGGAAAAATGGCGAAGGGCTGCCTACTATAGTGGTTACTTTCCGATGCGCTCGGAGCTGTTTCAGGACTTTCGTTGCCCTTTCTCAAGTGAGCAAATCGATCAACCGCGCATAGCCAGTGACGTTTTTAATAGCCCTCCACAGGTTCCCCCACGGGTTTTCACTGCGCTTCGATTTAAAAGGATAGAGGGTCACGCTTTGAAATTTACCTGTCCAGTTTCTGAACAGTAAGCCCTCTTTGGCCAAGTTTGAGATGCCCCAGTTTTCTTTTTTCTGGGGCAGGCCCGGCCCAAAAAGTTTGAAACCTGCTCAGTGCAGGACGTGGGGTGAGCTTCCACGGCAGCGAGGGTCCTACTCGCAGGTGACCCATGCATCGTTTCGCCTGAGGTGTTCGATGCTTGGATCAAGCCCTTCATTGCGCCCCGGCTTTTGAGCGAGAGCGGGGGGCGGAGGTGGAGGATCGAGTTGGAGGTTTGGAGATTCGGCAGGTTTTGACAAAAACAAACGCCAGTTGACTCAGGAGAGTTTGAGGGTTGTCAGGGTAGACATGGAAGATCATGGAAGCTTGCAAGTTATAGCAAGCTTCCCTGGGGCCAAACGTAGATTAAACTCAGCGAAACAAGAGAGTGTGTGCGTGTGTGTTTTCAGTGAGCACCGGAAAAGGGCTACAGCAGGAGTGGATGGACCTGAACAGCAGAATCCTGTCATGAGGGAATCGCCCACTGGAAAGGCTTGGGAAGTGGCAAACTCTCTGACAGCCCAAGATGAATCACATAGGTTCACTGGTGGGGATGCACCCAAAGCACACAGAACCCACGCAGTGTCTCGATTGGCTTCCAGGTGGATTAATGTGAATTTAGCTTCATATCAGGGAACCCTCCCTCTCTTCTGGCGCCAAAGACTCCACGTCTGTGCCTTGTCCTTGCAGGGTTCCCCCCCCTAACCAAAAACAGCATCAAATTGTTGGTTTCCCTTTTCCCATGACAACCAACCCAAGCCTCTTATTAGAGTAACACAACCAGACTTTCAAACAGCGAGCTCCACCTCCTCCGGCCGCCTCCGGCCTCAAGCCGCAGAACATCGAGAGCAACCTGATCCTATTCCGTCTGCTGCGCCTGGTGCGGCTCCTGCGGCTGCTGAAGCTGCTGCAGGTCTTGCGCCGCTTCAGGACCTCGGCCGAATCGGGAAAGACCGGGGAGACGGACGGGCGAATCGGCGGGGAGTAGAGGATGCGGCCAGCTGGTGCTGCAGGTCGTACTGGATTGGAACTTAAGTGCTTGTGGGGGTAACAACACCCACCAAACAGGGGTAGCCTCAAACAAAGAATCGGACATCTTTTTTTGGTGATAAGCCTTGGAAAATCGACGAATCGGACCCTGAGGGCGGGTAAGGCGCACCCCAGTTGTTTGGAGTTGGTCTCTGGTTTGAAGGGAAGCCCAAAGGAAATCAACCACGGGCTTCGCTCAGAAGAGCCCTTGAGGGGTTCGAATAAACTGGCTAAATGGCCATGAATGGCCCATTAAGTTTTACATGCCCAAGGAAGCCAAAAGGGGATGGGAAGTCTTCTCATATTTGCATCAGACCCCCTACTTACAGACCTACTGAACTTACTTCTCATGTTGCTGTCAGATCCTGCTTACGCAGGCCATGTTCCGCCAGCATTTTGAGAGCAGGAACCTGTGGCTGCTGGTGCAGGGCTTTGCAGAGTCGGTGAGCACTTTGCAGTGGGTCTTCCTCATGCCGCTCGCCGAAGCTGGGCCTAGCTGGTGTCTCCATGACCCTTAACAATGGATCCATGACCCCTGCGTTTTGGGTAACCCACCGGGTCATGGAGACTCCAGGTATGCTATTTTTGAGGGACCCTTAGAAAGGGTTGATTTAAAAGGACACCTAGCGGAAAACATCGGAAAACTTTGATTTGGGGGACGCATACCCAAACAATGCAGAACGCAGCAGCAGGAGGGGGGGGGGGGTTGCAGCTCGTAGTGGCTAAGGGGTCCAACAGACAGGGCCTCTGCTTTTTGGAAGAGTCTCCTGAATCCATTTTAGGGCGGATTTCCTCAGTGGTACTTGTTCCCTTGGATCAATGCTTTGTCCCGTTTGCTTGCTCGCAGGAGACGAGATCGAACCACCGGATCAATCAAAAACGAACGCTGTGCGGCAACTTGTCTCCCTTTTCAGTGACTCACTGATCCGAGCCACTTGCTCGCAAAGGCTCGCCACCTTTGAAGCTCATGGCCAGTGACTCACTCCGCTCGGTATGGGCCATGAGCCATGAGCGTTCCTTGGCTCGATCCGATGTTTGGCCTGCATGCGCCACGCGATGCAATCGGCCGATGCTTCTCTTTGATAAATACACATATAAGTTGGCGACAGCACCGCTATGTGGGGGCCATGTTTTGATGTGTTGCTCCTTCCACCAGGCCAGCATGTCCTTTGGGCTTTTAGTTGGCATGCGGCACCTTCGTCAAATAGGCAGTTTCAGGATCCGCTCGCTGTACTTGGCTGGAATGCGTCGTAGTGCTAGCGCAAGCAGCAGCATGGCCTCCCAGTCTTGGCGACTCTCAGCCCTTTTCTGACAAACGCGGATCCTCCCATTCCAGGCGGCACATTGGTCATAGCCCAGAATCCGGATGTTGGCCCTGGGTTGCGGATCCATCAAGCGATCCACCAGGCCCACAATATCCCAGTGACGCAGTTCCTCCGAAAATTTGGAGGGCTGAAATTGAGATTTTCATTTGCTAAAGGAAGGCTGATATGTCCCAAAATTGAAGCTCGGAAGTTTCGAGCTTTGCAAGCATTCAATCGAGAACCGAAAGAGGAGACGTGGAGCTCGGATCACGGCCATTCGCATGTCCAACGCGTGTTCCGGCCATTGACATGTGAGGCTATGCCTTATCATGTACACCTTTGCGGTTTGCTGCTTGCTGCAGCTTAGGGCAGGGCGGGCGTTTGTTTGCAGCGTTGGTGTTTTGTTGTTTTCTTGTTGTGTTTTTTGTCTTTCTGTTGAGTTGGTGTCAAAAGGAAACCACAAGGAAAGTAAGAGCCCCTTTTCGGAGTCACTCTTGGAATTGGCACGCAGTTGGCGCCTGCGTGTTTCTTTTGGGTTTCCCGGAATGCACTAAGATCAACAGGCAGGAAATTTCAGCAAGCACCGGTGCTAGCTTGACAAGGCGTCTCAGTGGCCAATGAAAAGACCCGTCCCAAAGTGGTAGTTTCAGTCGGGCCTACATTCCCAGGTGCTGTCAGTCCCCGAACTTCCGTTGAGCCGCCATGCTCCGGCCTGGGCCAAATGGTTTGCCAAGTCAAATGGTTTGCCAATTCTCAGCTTGTCTTGGTTTGTTCTTTTGTTGTTTGCTGTTTTGTTCTACTCTTTTTTGCTAGGAGGCTACTAGGCTACCCAGCAATGTGTTTTGCCGAGCGGTTTGAACATATATAGTCTGAGGGACGAACGGCTCAGCATCCTTGAGGGTGTTTTTGGGGTGATGGCACAGGGCTGCTCAGGGCAATCCAAAACGGCCTTCCTGAAGTATCATTCCAAAACCCCTAGCTCCAATTTGCAGTGTTTTGGAAATTGCGTTGCGCAGTTAGCTTTCACTCCGGCATATTGCCGCGGCCAATAATTATGTTGACTGTTTCGGGGGTTGTCAAAGTCAGTATCTGGTTGGTTGTTTCCCTTTGACCTCCCACTTGCGGGTGACTTTGATGATGGTAAACCTTGCCGGTGCTCAGTAGGGAACAACTCACCCAAGCTTTGGAGAATGAACGACTCAGGGGCTTCCCTTACAGTACACTATAGGCTTCCATTTGTTTAAGAGTATTTTCATTTTCCCTTGTTGGTTTAAAAGGCATTCATCATGGACATATGTTTGTATTTTTTTGCAGGGGTCTAACCAAATGGAAGTAGGGCATGTTTTTTTTCTTGACTCATTCAACCTGCGCACCCGACCTGACCCAAGCTTCGGCCCGAGCGGACGGCCGTCCGAGGCTTGCGCTTGGCCGTGGACTGCCGTGGCCACTTCGCGGAGTGGGCGGACTGCGACCAGTTCTTCGGCCATTTGGCGGAAACCACGAGACGAGGGGCGCTGGAGCAGTGACGCGGAAAATAGTTCCGGGTTTGTCATATATGTATATTTGTATATGTGTGCATATATGTATAATTATGTATACAAATATATTGGAGCTCCTTCTGTTAAATTCCAATATGTTAGTTCCAATCTGTTAATTCCACTGTTGCCTGCATATGAATCCCCCTTCTGTTGGGTCGATAAGAGTTGCCTTTTGGGTCAAGAGTTGCCTTTGGTGGGGCGATGCTTGGTTTGGGAAGCGGGGAGCCGCGAACGGGGAATGTTATCCATGGTAAAGCTCGCTGACAAAGCTGCCTGCATCTTTTAGGGAGGGAGAACCGTCTTTCTCGGTCCCTTGCTGGTATCAAATTGGTCGATTGGTTTCAGCACCCTCGTGTTTGTAGAGGGTTGATGGGGTTTGCCGCCTATACAACCTCCAGACTGCAAATCCAAGCCAAGAAGAGGAAAGCCGATCAATCGGGCATGCCATTTGTTTGAATTGTGAATAGCAGTAAGTTGCCCAGCTTCCATGGATTCCGCGTTTGAGGCACCATCCCGAAGACCATGTACACGCTGGTCCAAGTGGTGACGTTGGACCGAAGTGGGTGCACGTTGAGCAGCCAGCTAACCCACCTTATAGTTTAAAGCTTCGCGCATCAGGCTTGAGCTGGGGCCGATGCGGGTAAGACCCCCGCCCAACCGAAGCGACTTTACCCATCAAGAATCCATTCATAGGCAACCCTTTTAGATCGGGTGACATCATGTTTCAATCAGTCTATTCACCGGTACCCAGATATCATCACTGTGACAACTTTGCCTTAAAAAAACACTTGCAAATTGATCACCTTTGTGTGTGCAGATTTGCTCGCGACCCAGTTTGAGGCATGGTTCTCAACGTGTTTGATTGGACAAACGAGAGTAAGTTCCACCCATGCTCCTTTTCCCAAATGCGTAGCAGAAGGGTTCCCGTTTAGAGGTCGGGGGTCGGGGGGTTAGGACGTGACCAGAAGTCGTTGATTTACGTCCTCAAGCGTCCGCAAGCGTCTGCAAGCGAATGCAAGCGTCCGCAAGTGTCCGCGAGTGTCGCACTCGCAGCTCCAGTGGGGAAAGCGAAGAACGTGCCATTTAGATGACTTGAAGCGTGTCATTTTTCGTGCCCCTGTGCGGGAATCGTAGCTTCTCAAGCTCGACGTGTCGTTTCGCTGCGCAGGCGCAGTTTTTTGGAAGGCTGCGTGTTCTCGTTGCCGTGCCAGTGGGATTTGCGATCCAGGGGTGGTCGTTTTGAGGCGTCCTGCCTGGCAGGCGCGTGCAAGTGTTTGCACGAGTATCATTTTCGTTGGCCCTGTCGTACAATCGGCTCGTTTTGGCGAGCCTGAAACATGTCAAAATTGTTCGAAATCATTCTGGCGCCACAGTCCCGTGCTAGTTTTCGATGCGTGTTGTAAACGTATCAAAGTTGGATTTCGTGGCAGGTCCAGCAGTTTGGATGATTTTGATATAGTGGCAGGGAAAGCTTGCTTTGCGTGACAGGCGCAGCACTTTCGAGCGTGTTGGTTGAGTTTCGTGGCAGGCGCGGCACTTTGGAGCTTTTCGTGCGGATTTCGTGGCAGGCGCAGTACTTTGGTGCCTGGGTGTAGATTTCGTGGCAGGCGCGTCACTTTGACTCAGCGAGATCGCTCTCGCTGTGGCGCGGTGCACATTTTGAGCAAATCGCTCTCGCTGTGGCGCGATGCACATTTTTTTGAGAAGGCGAGGCGAACCCTCTGCGCACTTTGGGTGGGGCAAATCGCTCTCGCTGCGGTGCGGCGCGCATTTTGAGCATGCGAAGCGAACCCTCTGCGCACGTTGGGCGGGTCAAATCGCTCTCGCTGTGGCGCGGTCCGCATTTTGAGCATGCGAAGTGAACCCTCTGCGCAGTTTGGGTGGGTCGAATCGCTCTCGTTGTGGCACAGTGCACATCTTGAGCGCGCAATGAACCTTCTGCGCACTTTGGGTGGGTCGAATCGTTCTCGCTGTGGCGCGGTGCGCATTCTGAGATCGCAAAGCGAACCTCTGCGCACTTTGGGTGGGCGAATCTGTGGAGCGGAGCACATGTTGAGATCGCACAGTGAACCCTTTTGGGTGGGCTGAATCGCTTTCGCTGGGCGCGGGGCACATTTTCAGATCGCGAAGTCGTGACGAAACACGAAACGCGGGTAGGGTAGAGACATGAGACAGACCACGAAAGGCAGGACGGGAGATGTGACGGAGTTGTGACGCGAGGCGTCGAGACACATGATGAGAGATGTGTTGGAAGTGATGACGAGAGACAGGAGCAGAGTTGTTACGACAGACGTCGCAAAGCACGTGACCAAAGACGTGACAACAGACGCGACCAGAGGCGTGACGATGGATGTGAGAAGGGGAGAGCCGTGACAAGAGACGTGACAAGAGATGCGACAAGATCCGTGGCGAGGATCGTGACGAGAAGAGACGTTTGAGAAGAGGCGTGGCGAGGGTCGTGACAAGAGAGGTGACCAGAGACGTGACGCGAGGGGTGACGACGCGACAGGATCTCCAAGAAAGACGCGACGGGAGATGCACGTAGTCGTGACGAGAGGCGCGTCGAGACACGTGATGAAAGATAATCTCTTCCCCCTATTAATAAATACGCCCCCCCCTTTAATAAATAAATCCCCCCAAAAATGTATTATTATTTTTTTAAATTGGGGTTTTTGGGGTTGGGTTTTTTCTGCTTTTCCGACAATGTGAGGGTTCACATAGGATTTGGAGAAAATGGATTGAATTGTAAGCTCCGCGAGGAAGCGGTTTAATAAGGAAATTTGATGTTTCGTAGTTTGTTGGGCAAACCCAGGACAGAGCTCTGCCCAGGCAGCCAGACCAGACAGACCGCAGCCAAGTGACAAACGCAGCCAGCCAGGGAATCAGGGACAGCCAGGGACAACAGAGTCAAGAACAACCTTTTGGGGAACCCACCAAAAGAACCCAACCTTTTGAGAAGCCAGCTTTTGGGGAAGCAACCTTTTGGGGAATTGAGGAACCCACCTTTTGAACAGTGAGGCTGGAAGCTTGCTAAAAGTGCTCCTAATAGGGATTCCAAGACTTGAGTATTGGTTTAGTATTGGCGCAATGGAAAAATTAAAGGACCGGATAACCCCACATGCTATGTTTTTCCCAAGGATGTGAGTTCAAATGTCTGGACACAAAGCTTCTGCGAGCCCAATCTCAACATCCAACAGCTTGCCTCACAATGCACCCTGCCTCATGTACTCACAGCTCTGCACTTACACAAGCCTTGTAGACGACCCTTTAGACATCCGAGAAGTGTGAGTGAGTGTGAGTATGAATGCGAGCGAATGAGTGACAAAATGCTGCCCCTGCCACACAAACACACACCCAGACGCACAGAATGCTGCGCCTGCCACGACTTCGGCAATGGCATCTCCAAAGTGCCGCGCCTGCCACGATTTCGCACGCCCCCCGCCGAGCGCGCAACGCCATCCTGTCCTTTTAGACAGCTGCCAAATGCTGCCCCTGCCACACAAACGCACACCCAGATGCACAGAATGCTGCGCCTGCCCTGCCACACAAACACACACCCAGATGCACAGAATGCTGCGCCTGCCACGACTTCGGCAATGGCATCTCCACACCCAGATGCACAGAATGCAGCGCCTGCCACGACAGAGGCAACGGCATCGCCAAAGTGCTGCGCCTGCCACGATTTCGCACGCCCCCCGCCGCGCGCGCGACAACATCCTGTCCCTCTAGACAGCTGCCGAATGCGACCCCTGCCACACAAACACACACCCAGATGCACAGAATGCTGCGCCTGCCACGACTTCGGCAACGGCATCGCCAAAGTGCTGCGCCTGCCACGATTTCGCACACCCCCCGCCGCGCGCGCGACAACATCCTGTCCCTCTAGACAGCTGCCGAATGCTACCCCTGCCACACAAACACACACCCAGATGCACAGAATGCTGCGCCTGCCACGACTTCGGCAACGGCATCGCCAAAGTGCTGCGCCTGCCACGATTTCGCACACCCCCCGCCGCGCGCGCGCCAACATCCTGTCCCTCTAGACAGCTGCCGAATGCTACCCCTGCCACACAAACACACACCCAGATGCACAGAATGCTGCGCCTGCCACGACTTCGGCAACGGCATCGCCAAAGTGCTGCGCCTGCCACGATTTCGCACACCCCCCGCCGCGCGCGCGCCAACATCCTGTCCCTCTAGACAGCTGCCGAATGCTACCCCTGCCACACAAACACACACCCAGATGCACAGAATGCTGCGCCTGCCACGACTTCGGCAACGGCATCGCCAAAGTGCTGCGCCTGCCACGATTTCACACGCGCCAACATCCTGTCCTCGGCTACCCTGCCACACAAACACACACCCAGATGCACAGAATGCTGCGCCTGCCACGACTTCGGCAACGGCATCGCCAAAGTGCTGCGCCTGCCACGATTTCGCACACCCCCCGCCGCGCGCGCGACAACATCCTGTCCCTCTAGACAGCTGCCGAATGCGACCCCTGCCACACAAACACACACCCAGATGCACAGAATGCTGCGCCTGCCACGACTTCGGCAACGGCATCGCCAAAGTGCTGCGCCTGCCACGATTTCGCACACCCCCCGCCGCGCGCGCGACAACATCCTGTCCCTCTAGACAGCTGCCGTGAGTCAGCGAGTGTGAGTGAGTGAGTGAGCGAGTGAGTGAGTGAGTGAGTGAATGAGTGTGAGTGAGTGAGTGTGAGTGAGTGAGTGTGAGTGAGCGTGAGTGAGTGAGTGAGTGAGTGAGTGAGTGTGAGTGAGTGTGAGTGAGTGTGAGTGACTGAGTGTGAGTGAGTGAGTGAGTGAGTGAGTGTGAGTGAGTGAGTGTGAGTGAGTGAGTGTGAGTGAGTGAGTGTGAGAGAGTGTGAGTGAGTGAGTGTGAGTGAGTGAGTGTGAGTGAGCGTGAGTGAGTGTGAGTGAGACAGTGATGAGGAGGGAGGGCGGGAGGAGGAGGAGAAGGAGACGCGGCGCGCGGACGACGAGCGGTAAAAGTAAGAACCCCACACAAAGATGTGGGGAACAATTGTGTGGAGTGGAAATCTGGCCTCGGGCCCCGGATTTGCATGTATTATTAATGGGGGGTCATTCATGAATAGGGGGAGGAGATTACGATGAAAGTCATGACGAGAGACGTGGCCAGACGCATCTTGAGATCGCAAAGCGAACCCTCTGCGCACTTTGGGTGGGTCGAATCGATCTCGCTGTGGCGCGGTGCACATGTTGAGACCGCACAGTGAACCCTTTTGGGTGGGCTGAATTGCTTTCGCTGGGCGCGGGGCACATTTTGAGATCGCGAAGTCGTGACGAAACACGGAACGCGGGTAGGGTCGTGGCTAGAGACATGAGACAGACCACGGAAGGCAGGACGGGAGATGTGACGGAGTTGTGACGCGAGGCGTCGAGACACATGATGAGAGATGTGTTGGAAGTGATGACGAGAGACAGGAGCAGAGTTGTTACGACAGACGTCGCAAAGCACGTGACCAAAGACGTGACAACAGACGCGACCAGAGGCGTGACGATGGATGTGAGAAGGGGAGAGCCGTGACAAGAGACGTGACAAGAGATGCGACAAGATCCGTGGCGAGGATCGTGACGAGAAGAGACGTTTGAGAAGAGGCGTGGCGAGGGTCGTGACAAGAGAGGTGACCAGAGACGTGACGCGAGGGGTGACGACGCACGCGACAGGATCTCCAAGAAAGACGCGACGGGAGATGCACGTAGTCGTGACGAGAGGCGCGTCGAGACACGTGATGAAAGAATCAAAGATATAGGATGAAAGTCATGACGAGGGACGTGGCCAGAGTTGCTACGACAGACGTGACAAAGAACGTGACCTCAGACGAGACCAGAGGCGTGACGCTGGATCTGAGGGATGTGACAAGAGACGTGCGCGGAGAGTCGCGACGAGACACGAGATAAGGCGTGACCAGAGACGTGACGAGAGATGCGACAAGAGACGTGACGAGGATCGTGACGCGAGAGGTTACCAGAGACGGGACGGCAAATATAAGAAGAGACGTGCGAGGGTCGTGACAAGAGACGTGACCAGAGACGTGACGCGAGGGGTGACGACAAGGAAAACAAGAGACGTGATAAGAGACGCTGTTACGAGAAACCTGACAAGGGGCATGACCAGAGACGTGACGCGCTAGAGACGTGACTATACACAAATTAAAGGACCGGATAACCCCACATGCTATGTTTTTCCCAAATGTCCACACACATGTACCGTGCGCCCCTTGTATGGATGCGATTACAGAGCACCCAGATGCACAGAATGCAGCGCCTGCCACGACTTCGGCAACGGCATCGCCAAAGTGCTGCGCCTGCCACGATTTCGCAACGGCATCGCCAAAGTGCTGCGCCTGCCACGATTTCGCACACCCCCCGCCGCGCGCGCGACAACATCCTGTCCCTCTAGACAGCTGCCGAATGCGACCCCTGCCACACAAACACACACCCAGATGCACAGAATGCTGCGCCTGCCACGACTTCGGCAACGGCATCGCCAAAGTGCTGCGCCTGCCACGATTTCGCAACGGCATCGCCAAAGTGCTGCGCCTGCCACGATTTCGCACGCCCCCCGCCGCGCGCGCGACAACATCCTGTCCCTCTAGACAGCTGCCGAATGCGACCCCTGCCACACAAACACACACCCAGATGCACAGAATGCTGCGCCTGCCACGACTTCGGCAACGGCATCGCCAAAGTGCTGCGCCTGCCACGATTTCGCAACGGCATCGCCAAAGTGCTGCGCCTGCCACGATTTCGCACACCCCCCGCCGCGCGCGCGACAACATCCTGTCCCTCTAGACAGCTGCCGAATGCGACCCCTGCCACACAAACACACACCCAGATGCACAGAATGCTGCGCCTGCCACGACTTCGGCAACGGCATCGCCAAAGTGCTGCGCCTGCCACGATTTCGCAACGGCATCGCCAAAGTGCTGCGCCTGCCACGATTTCGCACGCCCCCCGCCGCGCGCGCGACAACATCCTGTCCCTCTAGACAGCTGCCGAATGCGACCCCTGCCACACAAACACACACCCAGATGCACAGAATGCTGCGCCTGCCACGACTTCGGCAACGGCATCGCCAAAGTGCTGCGCCTGCCACGATTTCGCAACGGCATCGCCAAAGTGCTGCGCCTGCCACGATTTCGCACACCCCCCGCCGCGCGCGCGACAACATCCTGTCCCTCTAGACAGCTGCCGAATGCGACCCCTGCCACACAAACACACACCCAGATGCACAGAATGCTGCGCTTTGCAACGGCATCGCCAAAGTGCTGCGCCTTTGCATAGCACATTTCGCACACCCCCCGCCGCGCGCGCGACAACATCCTGTCCCTCTAGACAGCTGCCGAATGCGACCCCTGCCACACAAACACACACCCAGATGCACAGAATGCTGCGCCTGCCACGACTTCGGCAACGGCATCGCCAAAGTGCTGCGCCTGCCACGATTTCGCAACGGCATCGCCAAAGTGCTGCGCCTGCCACGATTTCGCACACCCCCCGCCGCGCGCGCGACAACATCCTGTCCCTCTAGACAGCTGCCGAATGCGACCCCTGCCACACAAACACACACCCAGATGCACAGAATGCTGCGCCTGCCACGACTTCGGCAACGGCATCGCCAAAGTGCTGCGCCTGCCACGATTTCGCAACGGCATCGCCAAAGTGCTGCGCCTGCCACGATTTCGCACACCCCCCGCCGCGCGCGCGACAACATCCTGTCCCTCTAGACAGCTGCCGAATGCGACCCCTGCCACACAAACACACACCCAGATGCACAGAATGCTGCGCCTGCCACGACTTCGGCAACGGCATCGCCAAAGTGCTGCGCCTGCCACGATTTCGCAACGGCATCGCCAAAGTGCTGCGCCTGCCACGATTTCGCACACCCCCCGCCGCGCGCGCGACAACATCCTGTCCCTCTAGACACGAGTGTGTGTGAGTGAGTGAGTGAGTGAGTGAGAGTGAGTGAATGAGAGTGAGTGAGTGAGTGAGTGAGTGAGTGTGAGTGAGGTGAGTGAGTGAGTGTGAGTGAGTGAGAGTGAGTGTGAGTGACTGAGTGTGAGTGAGTGAGTGTGAGAGTGAGTGTGAGTTGAGTGAGTGTGAGTGAGTGAGTGAGTGAGAGTGAGTGAGTGAGTGAGTGAGTGAGTGAGTGAGTGAGTGAGTGAGTGAGACGGAGACGAGCGGGAGAAGGAGGAGGAGACGCGGCGCGCGGACGACGAGCGGAAAAAGTAAGAACCCCACACAAAGATGTGGGGAAAAAGAGGAATAGCCAGATACTCCACCTGGCGAGGAGAGACGTGACGAGATTGGACCAGAGCTGTGACGAGAGATGTGATAAAGGACGTGGCGCGAGGGCCGACGATTCATGAGTGACAAGAGACGTGACGAGAGTCGCCAAGAAAGACGCAGCGGAAAACGCGACGGAGTCATGACGACAGGCGCGGCGAGACAAGCGATAAAAGACCAGAGACGCGACTTGAGGGGTGACGACTCATACGACAAGAGACGTGATGGGAGTGTAGCGAGACACATGATGAAAGGTTTGACGAAAGTCATGACGAGAGACGTGGCCAGAGTTACTACGAGAGACGTGACAATTAATTACGTGACCCGAAGCGACCAGAGACGTGACTATAGAAACGTGACTAAAGACGCGATGCGAGATGTGACAAGAGTCCGCTTTCGTGTCCGCATTCGGGTTCGTGGCTTCTATCAGGTTTGTTGCTTTTTCCGGCTGGCCATGTTCTTTGACCTCAACCAACAACAACGGGGAAGCCGTTCCTTCCCAACCACACTGAGCGGCATGTCGGCTAAGCTCAACTCCAACGCTGGCGGTCCAACTTGCAATCCCCAGGCAGATTTCAACTTTATTAGGATTTCTTGCGTATTCTGGAAAGAGTCAACTTCCAACAGGTGGAAAGGCGGGTTCCCTTTTTGGGGTCACTTGAGCCACACTCAAAACCCGGGTAGGCAAAGGCTAAGGGGAGAATCCCGACCAAAATCAGGTGCAGTCGCCTGTTTAATTCTTTACCCAGGTTCTGCACCCAGAACATGTTTATACCGATCGGTTTGGATGACTCCAGGAGTCTTGGAACATGACGGTGGGCCGGCCTTTGGTGGAGCGTCAGCCCTTGCTCTTTGTGCTGCTCTTGCTGCGCCCCGGCTCGGATGGCTTTCGACGCGCGGCCACGGCTTAGGATGTCCAACTCCAGAGGCATAGCCCCAGACTGCCAGTGCCGTTTCTGGCATATTCAATTAACCAGCCCAAAAAAGGAGTTCCCTTTTTTCACTGGCCACTGGAGGTTTGGGTTGCCCATGTATTTAGGCAAGCTCTTGCGAACTCAGTCGGGCTTGGCGTGATGATGAGCCCGGATGTTGCTTGTTCAAGCTCGTTCAACATGAAGGCGAATGGGGCTGGTATGTCTCGTTTCTTCTGGAGACCCTCCCCACCCCTCCCCCCTTAAGCACATTTTAGCACGCGAAAGACATGTGCTTGCTTCGAGCGGCTAGAAAAATGCATGTCAGAAAACACCAAAGCAGCAAGCATGCTTTGGAAAACAGACAAAGCCCTCTGGAACAGAGCTTCTCCAGACTGCCAATGTGTTCTATGCAGCGACCAGTTTGGGCATAGAGCATGGGTGCAGGTGCAGAATCCCACACTACCCCTTCTGTTCGGGTGTTGGAAATCCATTCGAATGGCATTTTAGCCGATGATTTTCTGTCCAAACGGCACTTTGGGCGGCTCACTTGCCATCCCTTGTGCTTGTGTGGTGTGTGTTTCCCAGGGTTTTAGTCTTCTGCTTGCTTCAACGTCATTTGTCCGCTGTGTCAAGCCAGAAAGCATTAGTTTTCACATTCGGCGTCCGTAATCAAAGTCAAGTCTTGGGCTAGGCTGAGCCAAAAGGGGGATTGTCAAGTTGGCAAGCGCAGCCAACTCTTTTTCCAAACGAAAGGGGGCAAGCGGGTGCAGCTTTGGGCAATAGGGCAAGTTTCCCATTTGCTGGTGACGATTCGTTATCCATGCGTTCTTTTTTGCAGGGGAATGATAGCAACATCTCTGCTTTCCTCAAAGCACAACCTGTGAGCAACCGGTTTGCCGAGGTACATTTTCCTGACCACGTTTGGGCTGCTGAACATCATCGTGGGCCGCTTGGCAATGGAACCCAGACCTCCAGCGGGTGTTTTTTGCCAGTTGTTTGTTCAATGTGTTTTGCGGGGTCCTGGAGAAGGCCCTATTGCAACTATTGCATGTTTGCTGAGAAGGTGAGGTCTTTGCACGAGCTCGCTTGTATCCTGCGGAAGACCTTGGTTTCCATCACACCCTGGGGCCTTAGGGTGAAGCGCAATGGCTGGCACAGGCTCCAAGAGCATCATACTGTTATACTGTGGATGGTTGCGGAATCTGCGCCACCCAGGAAATCCTGGAATGATGATTCCCGTGTAGTAAATACCAACAAATAATGAGTTCCATTGGTTTCAACGCTGTCTACGTTGTGGGGGGAGTTCCCTTTGCACTCAAAGAAGGCACCTCGTCCCCCCCTGCCCACTAGAAGAGCTCCGGGCAGCTTTGCCGCCCTCTTTGCTTATGGTCGAATTGATCCGGTGCGCCTGGCACGCTTGTTGTGAACCTCCCTGGCTAGTGTGCCGTGTTATGAGCGCACTTGGTTTCAGTCTGCTGGCCATGACTGTTTCGACCGCAGCGTCTGCAGCTACGGTTGGGTCGCGCTTGCGCTAGCGTGTGCTACGTTTCGAACTCGTAGGCTGCTCTGAGCCATGCTCAGTGCCACTGCAATGACATTCGTGGTGCCAGTCAGCCCGCAACGAGGGCGAGTTGCACTTCGGTAGCCCGAAGAAGACATCCAGGAGAAGGCAGATTTGTTTGCCAAGATCTTGTAAAGGTAAAAGAAAGCCTAAAGACGTTTTCAGCGCCTGCTAGGTACGGCAACCAGAAGCAGGTGCGAGCAACTGGATCCGTTCGGTGCCTGAGACGTTCATCACCAGCATTTTCACCGCCTTGGTCGTGTTCGCCTTCATGGCCGTGTGTAACGGCTTCAACGACAGCGCGAAGGAGTTCCGAGCCGATATCAAGCAGGCTATTGTTCGCCTGGAAAGCAAGGTCGATGCACAGACTGAGAAGCTCAACGCGAAGGTCGACAGTTTGAGCACAAAGGTCGAGCACAGAGCTAGGTCGACGCCATCGAGTGGAAATTCCACGTGGCTGCTGGGATCCTCGTGCTTCTGAGTCTTGTTGCTTGCGTCAAGGAGCCTGGCCACGGGCTGGGCTTGATGATAGACATGAAGGTGCTGCGTTCCACGGAAGCCTGGTGTTGGACGGGAAAACACTGGCTGCTTTGCATGTGTCGGTAGCTTTGCATGGCAGCTGAGTGCTTGCCCGGTCGCCCCAACCTGTTACCTTTTCGGGGCCAATGCCACCGTTCAAAACAGGTTGTTTGGTTGTTTGAGATGTGCTGGTTCTGCAATCTATTGCAGGCAGGGAGTAAGAATTCCATCACCCCACTGCCCAAACGGATTTTCCCTTAGGCGGCGGGGTAGTGAAATCCTTGTCAGAGGTCCCCCCCCAAAAACACCTGGGCCCTGCGGAGCCGCAGGCGTCATTGTGGAGAACACGCTGAACATCGCCCAGTCAGACCAGGACTGCACTCGCGCACTCGCTCGCGCATGGCTTCCAAGAAGACCTGAGCAGGAGGCCACCAATACCAAGCACCAACCAGGCAAGTTCGTCGGATTTCTCGCGTGTTTTTCGGGGACTGGTTTGGAGAACATAGGTAATTCATGTGTGTGTGAGCATGTGCATGCCATTTGTTGGAGAGAGCTTGGCAAGTTCTCAACTTACTGAATGTGGGGAGAAGCGCCATTCTTTGGTTAATGTGCACTGACTCATTCAACACACGGTGAAACTGTCAATATTGTTGTTGAACTTGTCTGGAGCCAGCGAAACAACTTCCCAGACCCAATTTGAACTAGGAGAAGGGGCATATACACAAGACTGGCTGTGAGAGTTTCATGTTTTTTCCCCCTTTTTTTTTTGTTCTCGCGTTTCGGGCTCTAAGCCGAGTCACCCTTTCCCGCCTCGGGAGAAACCTCGAGTCGAGTTTGGCTCCTGAAAAGGTGAATAGTTTTACCCTACCAAACCTGAAAGACCCCTCCCCAGAGTTGACACAGGTCTATGCACCAATGGTGTGAGGGTTAATGTCTTTTATGATTTTCCATTGCGGATTTGGCTTACCTTTTAGGATTTGCTACCTTTGCTTCTCCCTTTCAACCAGCAAACGCTTGTTTTCTCTTTTCAGTAAAGCAACACCGCTGCAGGGGTTGTTCGACAAGCAACTGACTTGCGAGAATCGTCGGGTGCAGCACCTAGCCGTTTGCACGAGTCTTAGCCCCCTTTGTGGTGCTATGTTTGGGTTGGCTACACGCACCAGTTGAAATGGATGAAAGCCTGGGACTGCGAAAAATCATCCAACAGCCGCAGGGTCACTTCCATTTGTTGTGCGCTTGTTTTGCAAACTTGCCTTGATTTTTGCAGGCAGTCAGTCATGAGCCGGGAAAGACACACTGCGTGGCACCAGCAAATGGAAGAGTAAGAGCATAGGTCAGCCCCAACAGGAAGAACCCCATTTTTCACAGAAAGGGACTTGAAGGAACCCACAAAAAGGAGATCGCCAGAGAGGTATTGCCTAGAGATGCTAGGTTCCACCCTCCTTCCGATCCGGAGAGTGTTTTTTTCAGCTTTTCAGCGCTTGCAGGACTGCAGGTCCTGCAGGTCCTAATCCATTTGGGCAAAGAAAGGGATGTGAGACGGGCTCTGCAAGACGATTTTCTACTTTGAAGGAGGGCCAGGCATAAATCATAATCTAGAGATCTGGCATTTTCTCGGCCCCAGATGTGGGGCAACAATCTTTAATAAATACATAAAATCAGAGATAGTGGGTTCAATGGGGGCACAGTCCAGAAGTCCATCCGAGCGCAGGACCTACAAGATCGGCGCATGCAGCGCCAGATCCTTGGGGAGCTGGAGTTTCTGAAGAGCGTCTTTGAGGCCTTCGGGGCATGTCGGAAGCTGCGTGGAGAAAGCCAAGGGGTCTCCAAGCTTTTCTTTGAGCATGTAGAGTAACTATGGAGCAGGGTCAGAAACATATGAGTTTCTGCGTGCCCCTCCAACATGGTTTACATTTTAGGGTAGACTAAGTATGGACAAAGAGTCAGAACGTGTGACTTAGATGTGGGCCATGGAAGAAAGCCGTTGGTCGTTGATTTTGAAGGGACACCCTCCTGCAAAATGCTGCAAACATGGGACAGCCACACAAGCTCGGCTTCCAGTTGCTTAAGATTTGTTTTTGTATTTTGGTTGGTTTTAAAGGGAATCTACCGCTACTGTTTTAATATATATATATATATTATGTATTTTTTCGGGGACTTAAGCAAGTTGAAGTTGGCGAAGGAACCCAACAATGACCCAAGCACGGCAATCCGTGACAGGCGTTGGTTTTGTGTCTCGTTTCTGGCCAAATGTCTACCAACTTGTGCCATCTTGTCACCATTGGTTCGCGCTGTCAAAGCTTCCAACTCATAGGTTGCGTGTGAGTTTGAATTTGGGACCCTTTGGCCATCACTTGGATGGGGACTCATGTCCACCAGCCATTTTTGTGAGGTGGTTCCCTTTCACGTTCGGTGAGCCGGCTCACCGAACCTGGATAAAAAAGCTTGAAAGGAGCGGTTCAGGTGCCCGTGAAGGTCCCGTGGTGCACGCAGGTTCTGCGTGTGTCTTTTTGAGGGCACCTTTTCCGGGGGATGCTTGAACGTATCTTAACGAGAGCAAAGGGTCTCCCCTCTGAAGATAACCTCACCTTGGATGTGGGCAGCGCGGCCATTGCCCACGAAATAAAGGTCCTTTTGTAGGTCCTTTTGTAGGTCTGTGGGGGCATGCTGGGCGGCATGGGAGCATGCGTCGCCCAGAGGACATCTTGTCAAAGCGATGATTTCCATGGTTGGGCAAGGGGGCAGTCGATTCGAGATCCCCATTAAACGAAGGGCCAAGTCGTGGAAAAATCAACCAAGGCTTGGGAAGTGGGCAAGTGGTTTGATTTGTTGCCGGGGTTTGGCCTTGTTGCTTCATCGGCTGAAGTGGACAGCTTGACCAAGCTGCTTGAATGGTTCGGGATCGCTTGGGACAACTCGGAGATGGCACACCTTTTTCTCCAACCCCGAACTTGTTGTTGACCTCGATGATTGAAACTTTGTGGGCCTATGAGAAAACAGGTCGGGGCTCCCAAATCCGAGTTCGAGTTTTTGAGGGTATCCTTTTTCATGTAGATTTAAAGGGACGCAAAGCCAAACCATAAGCCCATAGCAAGGGCACCTCGTGCTGGTCTGAGCGAAACCCTGCTTGTTACGCTTCTCGATTTGTGCCTGTCATCCTTGCGCAGGGGCCATACAGTTCATTTTATCGGATGATTGCCGAAGCGAATCCCCAAGGTCAAGGACCTTCATTGGTCATTTTTACCCCCAATCGTTGAGCTCGGTATAGTTTGCTGAGTTCCATCTCAGCCCCTTCCCTTGAAACCACCACTTTTTCAAGGGTGACATGAAGGATGTCAAATTCAATCCAGATTAGTCTAAATGGCTATCCACTTGCCCCCCCCCCCCCAACCGCTACATGAAAATCAAAAGATCAAAGCTACATGTGGCGCAACTGAAAGCCAAGTGGCTTGGCTTCCCTTTTGGCTTCGCAGTCCATGTGCCCCGACGTCCAAACGCGGGCGAAACGCGGTCGCGACACGCGTCGAACTGCAGTCTGCGGACTCGGACGGGAGCGGCACCCTGGACCGGGATGAGTTCGTGGAGATCTGTCGCTCGGTCCGAGAAGTTGGTGGACCAAACGGAGTTTTCGATATCCCCACCCCCTCAAAAAATCATATATTTTTTGGGGGGTGACCCCCCAAATTCCATTTATGGTGTCATTTTATGTTCTTCTTTTGTTTTGTGTGGGAAGACTAGAAAAAATGGATTAGGGGACCCCCTACCCCTCTCTGCCAGAAGGTAGGGGATGTTGTTGACAGAGGGTTCTATAAGGAGATGGTTCCTGTCCTTTCGTCCATCATCTCTGTCTATCTCTTGTTCCAATTAATCCCAGGTAGAAATCCATGAAAGAAGAATATGAATGAACATGTTTTTACCTTTATTATTGTTTTCTTATCTGTTGGTTATATTTCTTTGTCATTTTAATATGTATTGTTGGAAGAGCTTGAATGGTGTTGGAATGAAAGCGATGGAAGCTTCTATCTGCAGAAACCTTTTCATAATCTATTCCTCATCTTGAATTATCATTCACTTCTTTTATTATATGTCTTTTCTTTTTCGCTTCTTAGGTCTACCGGATAACCTTGAATCACATCTTTTACGTAAGGACTCACTCAACTTCTGGATGAGGCATGCCATGGGAAGAATAACTCCAATTTAGAACCATTCTATCTTAACTTGATGACAGGGAAAGAGAAGTGTAAGGGAAAAATAGATTGAAGATTTCCAGGATACAAAGTTATTATGAAAGAGATATAACTTTTTGAGTTCTTCATCTTGGACGGATTCTGGAAAGAGAACCCTTAATTGCAGGAGCTGCAATGAAGGTGGACCAGCTCTTTTCACCGTGTGCTCGCTCTCTTCCAAATTGAAAGAGAGGAAAAAGATAGACAACTTACCTTAATTGCCAGATTTCTGGGTTACATGCTTTTACAACTACAAATTACTGAAATCCTTTGCAGACTAATTCCCAACAATCCATTCCAGGTAATACAGAAAGGATAAAAAAGTAGGAAATAGATGTCTACCAACCGTCTCCAAGCAAGGAATGAGACGGAAGGTAACTATGAATAACAAATAGATTGCAAGGAATGGATCCCTTATCAGTTAGTGTTTGCCTGTCTTTTCCCTCACTCACTTTGTTCGTTTCATTCGTTTCCCATAATCTCATTCTCTAGGAGCTTCCGGAGACAACTTGACGGAAGGGATTTGGGGTAATGGTCTTGTGAGCTGCCCCAATTTGGTGCGTTGTAGCGTGAGCTTTGCCTTTGGCTGGTATTTCAGCTGAAGCCCCGGGAAATCAATCATTTCCCTTACCAAGACATTATGACATTTAGGCTCCGTTCTTTTTGGTTCTCCCACAAAGGGCTTGCACCCGGAAAAGGCTCATGCGCTTCAAATGGAGTTAAGCCCCCTTGGATCACGAGCAAAATAGAATCCTAGCATCTTTGGTTCATCTCTGAACACCTGATGTTTAAGATTTGACTGACTTGGAGCAGGCTGAGTGAGCCTTCCTCTCCGGTGCAAAGCTGCGATGCGCAGAGGATCTCGTTTGAAACTCTTTAGGTTCTAAAGTTGTATGAGAAGCCCAAAAGGTTTCTAGTCTAACTGGATGATTACCCTCCAACCAATTCTCATGGAACCTGCCCCAGTAGGTTCCACGTTCATGGGCGGGAGGGTGAGCTTAACATGTTTGCTTCCACAAAAAAGCTCCGCGCAGCGCTTGAGGCCAGCGGCCGGAGGTGAAGACAGCGTTGCTTCGGATGGAGGCCGCTTGACGGCCTGAGATGCTGTGGATGGTTGCGAAATCCGCTTAGGCACCACGAAATGAAACCATGAAAAAAACCAATGTTTGTTGGTAATTTCAGGGGAATCATTCCAGGTTTTGCTAGGTGGTGCAGGATTTTGTTCATGCACAGTAGGGGATTGGTTTGCTTCAGCCAGGGATGTGCCGAGTGCCGGAGGAATGAATCAGTTGAGCTTCTCAGTGGTTTCCTTCTCAAAACATGAGCGAAACAGTTTATGTTCCCAGTTTTTTTCTGTTTTCCAACTTTCTTTCGAGGGATTCCTTGGAGCAAACTTCCCTTCGTTTGTAGGCATGGGACTATGAAGCCGTGAGTTGTACACCCCGGTAGAAGTAAGAAGGGCTTGTCTCAAAACATGTGGCAGTTGTCTCGCAAACTGGGCAGGTGCAGAAGATCGTGGTTCCCCCTGTTTGTCCATTTTTAGTCATGACCCCAACAGGGTATCCACATATCTGGATCCTTTGGGCAACTGCTGTGCACAGAATGGTTAAGTACGAGCCAAACGAGCTACAACCTTCGAGGCGTTCCCAGAGACGGTCCCCACACAAAATGTTCCAAGAACAGAATCATGGGGAGTCCTTGTTGCAAGGAACAGTTTTGGGATTGTTTGATTCAAATAGCTGCTAGCTCTTGCAGGAGCCTTTTGGCGTCAAATTGATTAGCCCCACACTTGGACTACTCCCATTGTTTGCTTCACTATTAGTCACCTGTGAAACGTTGGTTGGTCTCTTTTTGGTAGCCTTCCGATATGGGCGGTGTTTTGTTTGTTGGTTTCCGCGTAGGCCAAGCCCAAAAATGCTTGAAAAAATCAAGCACGTACGTGTATCGTAGTTTTACCAATTGTTTGTGGTTTATAAGGTTCGCCAACGATTAGGCTCCTTCTCAAGATCCTGGAAACATCCAGCGCCACCTTAAAAAGGGTTTCAAAGTCCAAGGGGGGCCAAACGCGAACCTTTGTTGACTTCAGTTCAACCGCAGCACAAATCCATGCTGTTTGGTCTACTTGGCTTCAAGTTCTAGACTAGCTGTGAGAAATATAGATATATGTATGGGCATGAGGCTTGTTTGGCGGAAACCCGTGTGGCTGTTTTGAAGCCGCCGGAGGATGAGGCATGTCGAGTGGTGACCGATGAATGTGGCTAAAAAAGCACGCGAGTAGCGCCCAGAACCCCAAACGGGCCATTGACCAGCAGGTGGTTCAAGCTGGTTTCATGGAGGCTAAAGAAAGGCCTACACACTGTATATTCAACAGTCCATCTTTTATTCGCTGCTTACTTGCGAGTAAATCTCTGGGCTCTGGGTTGATCCAAAATCAGGATCACCTCGGGCAACACAAAACAAAAAGAATCCGGTCGGTTGCCAAAGCAAATCCGGGACCCAAAGCAAGTGGCATGTCTCTTTTCGCTTGGAAATCCATGGTTCAAAATCTGCACCTGGAAGCCACCAGCCCACTTCGGATGATTTCGTAGGAGTGGCCTCATTTTTACATACTTGCTCGGTTGCATATGAACTTGACCTCCTTATCTGAGGATTGTCTCACACGTCGTTTGATTATGGGATGTATCTTTTAGTTAAGTTGGCCCTGTAGGTGCACGACAACAATATTCTCGTGTTGTCAGGTTCCAGCAGAGCAGCCAGAAGAGTTGTTCGACATCCTGGACGAGGAACGAGCGAGAGAGATTGTGCACACGCCAAACGATGTTGTTTGCTTTGGGTGTAGTTTTTTGAAGGGACCCTGAGCGAGTTGTAATAAACAGGTTCCAGTTTGCACCAACCATCATGTGTGTAACATGTTAGAACCCATTTCTTAGGGAAACCCCGCATTTTGGATCTGAGATTGAAAAGGTATCAAGTCGCGTTAGGGGTGCCAATCCATCACCTTTTGCGTGGTAAACCGTGCCATTTTTGGGGCGGAGACTCAATAGAAAGGCGTTTGTCAGTATGCACTCTTGCTTCACGTGGATGTGGATGAGTAAGGACTTAGCGCACGTTCCTTGGTTGTCCCGCCGATTGCTGGACCAGTGTGTGCACTGGAGCAGACTGGAGCTACAGAAATTGAACAGAAGCAACCGCAACACACACGACGTATGTCGCGACTTTTTGTTGGGCCGATTTGGGGATGCCGACAACAAAAGAGCCCACAACATGAAAAGCCGTATATTAGTCATGTCGGTGGTGGTTGAACTAACTTTTCCTCATCCCTTTGTGCGATCATTCATGCGGATATCAACCAGCTGGGTGCCCATCACAAGGTGCAGCTCACACCGCGTTGCGGACTTTTTGAGGTTCGCCACGGGATGCGCGGTTCCCGGTGGTACACTGTCTGAGTAACAAACCATTACTCCAAACGAAGAAACGGGTCCGATCGAAGCAAAATGAAAAGGAGGTGGCTTAAAGAACGGTTGAAGCTGGTTTGAACAAAAGGTACTTAGGCGCAACCCTGGGGACAACCTGCCCCACACCCCCCCTTGGTGGCTCAAGAGGGTCCCTTTACGACTGCGTTTTGTTCAGGGTACCCTTGCCATTCGGAAAAGCCAGGAGAAACACCAATCGTAGGGGTCCTTTATTTGGACCCACTGGCCCCGTGGATTCCGCCCTTTTTCCAACTTTTTCGGGGAAGGGTGTCCCTTTAAAACCTCAACCAACCAAACAAATCGGATGCCAATTTCCTTTTTTCTCATGGGGGTATGGGTCAGAATTAAACCACCAGGGGACCACAGGTTTTGGTCCATGTTTCCACTTGCCAGGGCAACCCATTTGGAGATTACCCTACTTTTGACCCACAGCCATGGGTTCTCCACTGGGCACCTGAGTGGAATCCCACGTAAACCAACGCCCCCCCCGCCCGCAGACCCACGCCAGGAAGGCTCAGGCCAGATCAACTTTCTGACTTTCACCGAGAGCGTGAAGCCTTGGCCCCAGCAGAAGATGGCCCCAGAAACGTCCGGCTTCGCTTACGTCTAGAGCGGCGGGGTTGGAGGACCCGAGCATGTGAAGTGAAGGAGTCAGATTTCAAAGAAAACATGGTGAGAGCGGTGTTTTTTCTTTTTTTCTCTAAGAACATGTGGTGAACGCTTGTTTTTTGGTGCATTTTTCATGGCACCACTCGGCTGCACTTGAAGTGTGTTTAGCCCTTATGGCCTTAGCCCCTGTCAGGCTGGCAACGTTGGGGCTTGGTGCTGGCGGAATCTTCGACGTATGTTTGGCCCGTCAACCCGATCAGTCAAGTGGTTTCCGGCGCGAGCTTGCGAGCGACGTCCTGGGAAAACGGTAGAGGAAAACCGTCATCAGGGTTCCTGTGCTTGGTGGTTCCCAGCCATCCGCTTCTTAGCTTTTTAGTGTTTAGTGGTAGTTTCCATTTAACCCACTAAAAGTTAAACTTTTAGCGGTCTGAGGGCAGCCCAGGTTCGGGGTGATACCTTTGTTATTGGTGAAGCATTATACTTTGTCTTGACTCTTGTTTTGGATTGGTTCGGGGGTTTTGGAAGCTAGTTGCAGAGCCAAGTGGTCACCCTTTGTGGTTCTTCAGGACCCTTGTCGCTAACGGTCAGCCGCTTGAAATGATTCCATCGTTGTGGCTCTAATTTGCGTGTTCACTTGGCAAGCTGGACACTGTTTTGACAAGCAAGTACTCCTGGAGAAAAAGGAGTACGTCACTTTGATTTTGACGGCTAGTTAGAACATCGCCGAGTGCTTGACGTTTTGTTTTCCGGATGCTTGAATACACCTCACTCCGCGATTGTGGGTTCTTTGCCAATCCGCTCAGCAAGTGAGACACCGACAAAGGCTTTGATTGCAGCGACGGATCCTGGGCTCTGAGGAAGGTTCGCGGGGTGCCGTCCAACTTCGACATGAAGGCCTGCGCCGCACACAATCAAGCGGGCTCTCGAGAGAGCCTCACAGGGTAGCAGAAAAGAGGGAATGGGGACAAGCAGTGGTTTGATTATGGGCTTGGTTCAAGACGGCGGCCTTGAAACTAAGGCCAGCCAAATGTTTGGAGTTTCAACAGATGGCAACAAGGCAGCAAGTTTGGATGCTCATGCACCTCCCCCCCCCCCCCCGAAAAGGGCAGCCCTTGCCGTCCTTAAGGTGGATTCTTGCAGGGCATCAGCCATGTGGTTCCCTAAAAAAAAGTGGCTCCCTTTCTTCCACAGAGGTGTGGAAATCATACTTGTCGAACACGTGGTTTTCATACTGATTGGTAATCGATCAACCGTTGTATTTACGGAGTGTGCTTCAACTCATAGTCGTTTTCCGGTTCTACTAAATTTGTAGTTTGCAACGTGATGTATTTATCAACCATGTAAACCCCAATGCATGCATGTCTCACTTGTGCAGTCTCATCATTACGACTGCACGTGGCTCAAGGAAAAAGCGCGCTGAGTACAGGGTTCAATTGTGACCCTTCCCGGTTGTTTAACCTGTTCTATAGGTTATCAGCCGTAAGCGGCTCTTTGTACAGAGTTGTACGCCATGGATGGCGACCCTGGACTACCCCATACCGAGGTGCGTCCCACACCTGGTGAGCCAGCAGGCGATGAGGACGCCTCGCAATATGAACCGACTAGTCGAGCAAACTCCCAAGTGGCCAGGGAGCTCATCAGGAAGGGACAAGCACTGAGCAGTCAGGGCCCCGAATCACTCCGATCCCGGAGTGACCGTGGGAGGGCTGGGCGGTCTGGTGCTCGATCTCCTTCTCCTGTAGGATCAGATCGGCATCGGCATGGTGACATCGTCATGTACGACCCCCAGACCGACCTCGCAAGGGGAAACCCTATGCCACAGTCCATGAATCAGTTCAACCAACATGTTGCGAACGTCCACCTCGATCCATCAATGACGATCAACCAGGACGTGACGAATTATCAGCAGATCAACGCTACCCAGAACAATGCCCAATTCAACCAGTTCGTGAATCAGGACACCGGTCCCATGGTCGCCCAGCTGGCGGAGGCAAGGCATGGTGAGATCATTGCCGGTCTCCAAAGCCAGTCGGAGACCATGAGACGCGAGATTCAGATGAATGCGGAGCAGCGTGCGAACACCATGAAGTCAGAAAGAGAAGCCGAGATGAAGTACCAAAACGCCATGAACACGATCAGCGAGCAGGAGAAGCAGATCAGAGAGCTAAGGGCTATGGTCGAGCAGATGATGCAGAACCAACAGCAACCGCCTGCTCAACCTGCTCCAGCTCCTGCGCCTCCGGTTCAGCAGGCACCAGCTACCCCCTTGGCTATCCCGACAGTTCCTTTGGCTGCATCTCCACCCGGACTTTCGAATGCTTCCTCGCACAGTTGGACGAAAGTCGGGAGCGACCCCTACGGCAAAGACGGATCTGTTCCCGCCGGGGCCGTGGACGATGCTGCTACCGGAGACGGTTGGCCTTGCGATGATGGTGATGGTGGAAATGACAAGGACAAGAAAAAGAAGAAGAAGAAGAAAAAGAAGAAGGACCGTAGCCGACGCCGGCGACGAGATCCGTCATCTTCTCCCTCGTCATCTTCGTCATCAACTTCGACTGCATCGGATGAATCTTTTCGACGAAAGCTACTGAAGCACCTAGGTAATTCGAGCGATCCGACAGCGGAACGCGTTCGTGTAAAGGAGGGTGACAGAATTCAGATTCCCCGATTCCCGAAGCCCGAACAGTACCGTAATTGGAGGATCAAAGTTAGGGATGCTGTTGTTGCTACTTCCGATCAACCCGAAAAGGCATTCGAATGGATTGAGGCAACTTGGATCCCAGGTCAAACTGTTGAAGTCCTTCGTGATTCAGGAATGTTTGTCCATCTTGATGCAAAGCTGGCATCGGCGTTGACGAATATCTTGGAGGGCGACCTCGCGCGGCAAGTGGACATTTTCAAAGAACAAGAAGCAAAGGAGAAACGCTATGCGAGGGGGCGCCAAATTCTTCTGATGGTTCACAAGCACTTCAGCACGAACATCAAACATGGTGCAATTTACGACTTTGAGGACTTGCTCTCTGTCCAGCTCATCAACGAGGACCTCAGAAATTTCATGACGAGATGGGACACGGTCATCGCTGGAATGGGCAATGAGCAAAATGAGAAGACCCTCGAAGCGCTGTTCCACCGCCAGATTCGAAAGTTTCGGCCCCTCAGTCATGATCTCAATGAGTATGAGCGAGCTGAGGAAGGTACGGAAAAGCACTCCTATAAATTCTTGATTGACGCATCGAGGAATTATTTGGAGCGCAAGAGGCTTGTTCACATGCGGGATGCTATGTCAAGCAACACAACGGGGCGTGGCAGGACTCCATCGAACAACCCTGCAGTTCCTGGAATCCCCAAGGGTGTATGCATCAAATTTCAAACTGGCCAGTGCACCTATGGTTCAGACTGCCGATTCGAACATGTTAAGGCACCGAAAGGTAAGGGGAAAGGCAAGAAGGGCGGGTCCAGACCCCAGACGCCAAGGAAGTATCGTTCGCAGAGTCCTCCTGGTTCGAAGCCCCAGGTGTGCAAGTTCTTCAAAGCGAACAGATGTGAGAGGGGGAAAGATTGCCCATGGCAGCACCCCGCAACTTCCAAGGCAGCTCCAGCCCCAAAGGCCGAGAAGACCGCTAGTGGAGACACCCCCAAGACGTCGCCGAGGGACAAGAAAAAGAAAAAGGGGAAGAAGGATAGCAGGCCTTCTTCTCAAGATTCGAAAGATTCAAAGGGTTCTCAGTCCCTCAAGTCTCCGGGATCGTCAAAAGGCAGCAATGCTGCGGTGTGCCTCCTTCAGGCGATTGTGTGCGCCGCGACCCTCGACTCGGTCGCCTCGCATCCTTGCTTGCCTAGTGTGACTCACGATGTTTTCCAGTGTATGCCATGCATCAAGAAATGCGTGCAATTTTCTGATTACCCATCCATTTCGAACTATGAGACTGACGGCGAGCTTTGGCCCTACACTGCCTCGTCAAGAAGGTTTGCACACGAGTTTCCTGTTGATTATGTTCCGAAGTACGATGAGAGAGCCGTCTATGACGCAATTCTTATCGGCACCATGCATGAAGCTATGACGAAGGATTTGCTCAAAGGCACGAAGACTTCTTGCAAATTTCAATGCGACTCTGATTTCGGTTGTGATTCCTGCATCCCCGCAGGCCTAACGGCCGAGCCAGAGAAGTCCGTGACCTCCCCCAAAAAGGGGAAAGCCGCTGTTGCTCGAATGACAATGGATTCTTCTCACATTCCGTGGATTGCAGATACAGGAGCTTCTCAGGACTTGCTATCGGGGACCGATGCGGAGATGGGATGTATTTACGAATCGTCTCAGCCTCTGAAATTTTCCACGGCTAATGGGAATATCATTGGTACCAAGCAGGCCAGGGTCAAGATCCAACAGACCGATAGTGTTGTTCGGCCATATGTTCTTGACAAGGCTCCATCCGTGTTATCCGTGGGTATGAGATGCCTCAGGGACGGATATGATTTCGTTTGGAGAGCCCACAGCAGGCCTTATTTTCGACTTCCGGATGGTTCACGCATCAAGCTCGAGGTCAAAGACAATGTCCCATTCATTCCCCCAGCAACTCAAGATGCTGTTCCAGCTTTGTCACAGAGCATTCCAAAGGTTACATCATTACCATCAGCTCCCATTGAAATCGATGATGAAGTTCTGGTCATTGACGAGGAACCCGAAGCTGTTGAAGAGGTGCTTGTGACCAATGAGGATGATGGGGATGAATTGGGGAACGATGATTTCTTGCTTGAGGACACCATTAGCCAACCGGAAGGTGAGGTCATTGAAGAGTGCCATGACATTCCCTCCGAAGATGCGCCTAAGGTCATCGCTTCCGATTTTGTGTCGAAGCCTATTTTGAAGGACGCCCCTCGCGAACGCGGTGAAGCAGCTTTGCGTGATGAGGCGACCTCACTCCAGCACTTGATGTGTCACACTCCCAAAAACCCCTTTTGTGAGACTTGCAACAGGGCGAAGATGTACAAATATCCATCAAGACAGAAGGGAGGTTCCACTCAAGTCGAGGCCAAGAAGTTTGGTGATCACCTCACGGCGGACCATCTTATTACATCAGATGATCGTGAAATCGGCATTGACCAATCTAGAGTTGCACTTGTTGTTCGAGATGTTGCCACTGACTTCCGTTATGTTTACCCAGCAGCACGGAAAACCTCTCATCAGTGTGTGATGGCATTCAAGCACTTTGTCCGCACCGGGGAAACCGTGAACGTGTTTTACAGTGATCGGGCTCCTGAACTTGTGAAAGCGGCAGATCAATTGGAATGGAAGCATGTTCAAAGTACAAACTACATTTCCAAAACAAATGCTATTGCTGAGAGGAACGTCAGGGCGATTATCGAGGGCACGAGGACCAACCTGGAACAAGCTGGTTTGCATCATTCGTATTGGCCACATGCCGCCAAACACTATTGCATGGCGCATAACATCACGGACCACTCAGATTATTATTCACCATGGAAAGTACGTTTTGGAGAAGATTTTCCCGGACCATACTTGCCCTTTGGTTGTCAAGTCAACTTTTGGACCGGCCCGAGGAATCGACCCAACAAGCCTTTGAAGTTTGAACCTACTTCCAGGGCTGGAATATTTCTGGGGTATCCCATCCATCCTGACTTTCTTTGGCGTCATGAATTTCTCGTTATTCCTTTGCGAGATTTGATGGAGAAGGACTATGATCAACCTATTGCTCCTTTGAGGGTAAATCAAATCAAATGTCCAGATGGCGAATTCTCTTTTCCAATGGTCGAACGGCACTTATTGCACATGAACGGCGTTATGCCGGGGCTTGAATACGCTCCTGAGACGCCCGATCCAGCTGCATTGGATGCGCCGCTCTTGGAGGAGGATTTGCCGGCAGAGATGCCAGGCC